TTCAACGCAAACGTGCACCCGTAGGAACTTCCCGAATTAATCCAGTTCAATTATCTCCTGGACTCGCTCCAGGGAGAAGCCAAGGAATCTGTTCGCAAGTTCCAAGTAACGAAGGACAATTGCTCTAAAGCCATAGTGTTCTTGCATAACCGGTGTGGCTCGGGGGAAGAGCTAATACAGAAATTGATCGATAGATTGGGAAAGTTCCAGCTACGAAGCCGATCTCTAAAGGATTAACGTTCGCTCAGGGAACAAATGCAAATAATCATTGAACAGCTGAGAAAGAAAGGAGAACAAGACGATAGCCAATGGATGATCGAGAGGGTCTTTTCAAAATTCCCCGAGGAATTTCAGCGACAAGTCCTCCCGAATAAGGGGTCACTTTCATCAAATCAACAACCATTTTCAATGCAAAGTCTTTTCGACCTGAAGGGTGAGGTTCTCTGTGGAGAAGGAATGATCCACGCCTATTTAGATAAAGAAACAAAAACACCTCTTCGCAGTGCAAACGAGCGGGAAACAACTCAGTACCGCAAAAATCTGTTTCCCTGCATGTATTGCAAGGGAGACCACAAAACAGCAGCCTGCGGAAATTTGGAAACACCACAAGAATGGGCGCACCGCAAGAACATGCTGTTTTAAGACTACGGCAAATCAGGAGGCATCTTTGGCACATTCCCGTGAAGACAGTTCACATTCGAAAACCCAAACGCAGCCAAAACGGCTGGAAAAAACTACCAAAGACGCTAACGAATGTGAATCTGGCGACGAATAAACATTCAAATACAGAGACAAATGCACAGTCACAATGAAGGGATAATCTTGACCATACAACCATGGAACCCAGCAAATCGTTCTTTCCTATGGGAGAAATCTCTGTGATGAATCCAACCAGTAGAAAGTGAAGAGGAAGTGATGGACAACTCCACGTGTTGGATCTATCAACTAGTAACATCTTCACGAAAGATTTTGCTCTTCCACCTTCACTGAAAGTTGACGAAGAAGCGTTCCGTTCCATTGACACGGTACCTGTATTAAAACCGCATAGACAACAAGTGAATCCAATTATTCTACTGGGATGGGACCAGGCATGGTAGTTCCTTTAGAAAACTGTTCCCCAGTCCAACTCCCATGAGGCCTCTATGTTTGGCCAACTATTCTGGTCAATATTTTGGCAGGGTAGCTGAAGCCATCACAAAACATTTTTCATCTAGATCTTCGTAATGGCTCCGAAGGGCTCGTTTGGGGCAAGTATTGGTCATTTGAACCGCAAGTGAACATGATCAAGAAGATGACAAATCCCTAGACGTGATGGGAACAGGTGGGAGAAGTAATGGCGATTGGAAACAGCAGGTATACACGAATATGGAAACACAGAGAAGGAAGAGAAAGATCGTCAAAAGAAGGAATTCTGAGACAATTTCAATCGCACCGTGGGACGCAGAAGTGACGGTTATCACGTAAAGCTTCCCTGGAGAGACGCTCATATGTAGTTACCAGGTAACTCCATAGCTATACGCGGCTTTCCGAATATTTGACACTCAATGCGGAAGGAGCAAAACCTCCTTCGACGCTACGATGCGATTTTCCAGGAGCAATCCTGCTGAACATTCTCAAAGATGTACCCGAAGGTAAACCACCGCCAGAAAGAAGGATACACTACCTCCCCCACCAGGCAGTGGTGACACCAAGCAAGTCGACGACTAAGCTCCGTATAGTTTTTGACGCGTCAGCGCGTTACCGAGGGTGTCCATCCTTGAATGAAGTCTTGCATAGAGGTCTTGTGACACTTCCTCAACATTTCGGAGTTCTCCGTCGGTTCAGGATAGGGAAAATAGGACTCATCGCAGATGTGGAAAAGGCCTTTTTACAGGTTAAACTTCACGAAAGCGAACGTGATGGCACAAGTTGCCTTTGGCTGTGGAATTACCGACAACCTCCGGAATCCGACAACATCAGGGATCTCAGATTCACGAGAGTAGCCTTTCGGCTAACGGCTTCCCCCTTTCTCTTAGCGGCCACTACCTATTACCACCTGAACACGTATTCAAGTGAAAGTGACTTAGTTGGTGGAGAATAAGATTGAGAAGAAGAATTAAGAATAACCTTTATGTTGATAACGTTCCACTGACAGCAGAAACTCATATTGAGGCAAGGAACAAGCACCTCTAGTGCAAGAAAATGTTCAATGAGTTGAGCATAAATCTCAGAGAGGTTGTTTCTAATGACGAAGAGCTCATACAAATGATGGATGGAAAGGACCGATCAGCAGATCGATGTCCTAAAATACTTGGAATACAATGGAACTCTCAAAATGATTCGTTTCAAGTGAGCTGTTCGATCACAGAAAATTCTTAAGTTTCCAAACGAACGGTAGCTCGTGCAGTAGCATCAATTTACGACCCAGTCGGATGGCTAATTCCATTGACGTCCAAAGCCAAACGTTTCCTCCAATCTTCATGGAGAGAGGGTTACGATTGGGATAACATGCTCTCAAAAAGCCACAAAGAAGAATGGTTCAGAATCATCACGGATATCACGGGATCCGAGGAAGCAATTCCGCAAGTCGTGGGTGTGAATTCAAGTAATCATCTTGACATTCGCTGATGCTAGCTCCGAATCAATGGCTGCATGCATTTATCTGTGCAACTTTTGATCAAGTCAACTTCTGATGGCGCGTGAAAGACTGCCATCACTTAGGCAGGCAATGACAATGCCAAAAACGGAGCTGAACGCTGTCACAATGACATTGCGTCTAGCAGGAGCATTTATAAAGGATCTCCGATCGATGATTCGGATTTAGCTAATTTATATTTTTTCCGATTCGGAAATCGTGCTGAAGTGGTTGAAAAATCATCAAACCGCAGAAAGAAGTGTTGTGGTAACCAACCGATTCAACGAAGTAAGGAAGATTGTGGAACATCTGAAATCGCTCGAACTTGATATATTTCACTTATGTGAACTCAGCACAGAATCCAGCCGACTGCGCCACAAGGGGGCTCAAGAAGGGCGAAGTTGGTGCTCACCAATGGTGGAATGGACCTTTGTACATAAAAGAGCAAGAATACACCTGGGCGAGAAAAGAAGTTCCTGTTGAGTGGGCCAACGAAAATGAGCACGAAAGCATCTTCCTAGCAATCAGCAAACAGAAGTGGGATGAAGATAAATCTGACATTTATCTGGTGACGCCCAAACAAGCAGAGACGTTAACTCAAGCAAAATGCATTCTGGCCTATGTCCTATGATTCGTCACGGCAATTAACCTTCGAAGCAACAAATCCAAACAAGTTACACCATCATGCGAGTGGAAAACCTCAATCAAGACATCGTCGATACCTCTTACGCGGAAAGAAATAAAAGAAGCTGGAAGTGTGTTAATTCGACATCACAAAAGGAGTGAAATCACATAGGAAAGGTTCAAGAAACTAGCTCACTTAACGGTGAAGAAGGGCAGTGAAGAGATCCTCAGGTGCAACGGCAGGATGGGCACAAGTGCCTTGAGACCATCGGCCAAGTATCCAATCCTCATACTTCAAAAATCATTTCTGGCCAAGCTCATAGTGTAACAGTGCCACCAAAGAGCACATCCAGGAGTCAATCACACAATGGCAATAATACGTCAGACATTCTGGTTACCGCAGTTACAATCTCAAGTCATTAAACAAGTGAGATCGTGCCTCAACTGTCAGCGCCTAAACAACTTACGCTTCAAGTACCCCAAGCAGAGCGATCTTCAGCCGGGAAGAGTCATCCACAGTAAACCGTTCGAACATGTCGGGTTAGATTATTTTGGACCCCGCTATGTGAGCACTCCGCGGAGGTAAAAAAATGCTTCGAATGTACAATCACTAGAGAAATAGGCAACAGGGAGATAAAATGGAGACACATCATTCCCTACGCGCCCTGGCGAGGCGGGTTTTATGAAAGACTCGCCAAATTTGTTAAAACAAGTCTGGACAAAACGCTAGGAAGGTCAACGCCATCGTTTGAAGAGCTACTATTGACTGTGAATGAAATTGAGCCTTTTCTCAACGCCCGTCCTTTTTTGTACTCTGACTTAAATGTGAATCCGGAGAGCAGTCTGAGACCAACTGACTTTTTGTAAAATCACTTACAGGTGTACTTTACGTTCGAAACCAGCAAGGAAGACATCGAGGACCCCTCCTACTTACCGTAAAAGAAACTCCGGCATTTAGAAAAACAGCAGACAATTCCGGCATTGCAAAGTTCAGTGAACTTAACGGAGCGGGCATGGAGAATATGGCAAACTCATTACCTAACATCGCTTCGCGAAAGTCATCAGTTGGACGTGAAAACGAGGAAAGGAGGAGTGCACTCACCTCTAGAAGGGAACCTTGTTCTGATTCGGGATGAAACTCAACCACGTCACTCATAGAAAATGGGTCTCATAGAAAAGTTATGTCCTGACCCACAAGGAGTCGTACGGGAAGCAACGGTTCGTCTTCCATCGAGACGATGTGTACGACGTCCGATAAACTTGCTGATCCCACTAGAACTCGAGGGGATAACGAAGGGCGAAAGCGACAGAGAATGTAATGAGAATGTTGAAGGACCGAGTGCTAACCCGCATTACAATCTGCGCCCGAGGATACCAGTAGCTGCTGCATTGACTACAACACAATAGCGACAGTAGGAATTATGTGTTGCCTACTAGCCGTCAGCCTTGGTAACCCCACAACTGATAATGCGCCTATTATCAGCTCGAACAAAGGAAAAATTTACTAAATTCTGAGTGAAATGAACAATATGTGAACTACCGCAGCATTTTTGAGTATGATCCGTTTTTCAGACAGGAGTCGCGCGACCTCGAAGGAGGCCCGAAATACCTTTCTAGAATGATCATTGAGCCCAACCCCACAGCAGAAAGAATAGAGAATGATGTGTTTGCTACTTTCAATGAAGTACGCAATCAAGCAATTGTCTCCACGACAATTCGAAGCGAGTGGTTCCATATTCTATGTAATGCAAGTCTTCGCGAGATGGGAGCAGCAGAAAAAGTTCAACTCTTGAACCACTTCCTGCTAACTGTCAGTCTCACAAAGGAGCGACCTTTCCGGTTTGAAACACGCTATATTTGATGGATCGACTCTGCGAAAACCGCGTTCAAGGAGACGAGGAACTAGCGAATCAAAGGGAGCAATGGTTGCAGATTGAAGATCTCCAAAGAGGTCATGGCCATCACTGAGAAGGATGTGCGACGCATGGAAACAACTATGAAGGAAATAAAGGAGTATATGGCAGATGCAGAACGTGAGCTGAAGTCGTCAGCAACTGGAAGTGGCAGATATACTTACAAAGAGCGTACAAGTCTTGCAGGACAAACCGAAGACGATACCGACCCAGTCAAGTGATGATAAGATCAAGATATTGTACTTCACGAAAGGCCTACTGCCTTGGAAATGACCCAAAAACCTATAGAGTCACGAAAAGGCGAATCGCTGGGAATTCAAGTTGGTATCAATAATGGACACACGGTCGTCGTACAGGAGGGCAAGCAAGTTGCGGAACGGAAAAAAGATCCGAAAAAGTCATTTTCAATTCAGGTCGAAGAAAGGGATGATAAAAATGCTACGACACGCGGAGAACAGACGAGCAAAGGATCGTACGTCACCATTGAGTGATGAAAATGCAATACTAACCAGGGAATTATCCCAAGTCGAAGTGGCCATTTAAAATGAGACCTACACTGCTGAATGTATTTTTCGATGCTGAGTTCAAATTGGTTTTCCAAACTTGCCAACCGTTTCTCTAAACGGAGTTATGAGGGTGGTTTCAGGGAGCTTAACACAAAAAAACTTAACCACGTGGATGTACAAGGTTTCTCAACGGCGGCCTGGTGTAGCGGAAAGCGTGACGCTTCATGTGCTAGAGGCGAGGGTTCGGGTTTTGTGGGGGTTAGAATTATTGCATTATATGGAATTTTTCCTTGAAGACTAGAAAATACTCTCATGGTGATTTTATCACGCTTTATGACCTTTCAATGCCTTGCTGATACCATATCCTACCTACCTACCTGTTACCAACTGGGAGATTCCTTCGCGTGCAAAATTTGAAGGTCCGGGCGAGCAAAACGCATATGATGAGCAACGGTGATGCTTAAGTGGGTGTTGATGCCATATTGGGTGCGATGGTGCGTAGCAACTCCGGACTCCCAACACCGGCAGTACTGATAGTGGACTCTTGGACACCATTCAAAGACCAGACAGCTATTCATTGCGTCTGACCTCCACAAAAGCAGGTGAAGGGAATGACACCCTGCTCTAGGCTACTATGAGGCTAATACAGCCGATAGAAGCTCATTTCTTATTTCCTTTTAAAAATATGGTTAAACTCATATGTAACAACTCATGATGTAAGCTATTGCGTGTGCATAAGAGATACCATTACTCGCTTACTATCGCCTGTCTACTTTCAGCTCTGTGCGGTTGCATTTAGGAAATTTCTCTTTTATTCGTGGTATGCCGCCGGCTTCTTGAGCATGATGACTTGAGTGTAAAGCAATGGGTTGTGGCCAGTTCTTTTTCATCCCTTGCCCCCAATGTGAGAAGCTTTTTCGTTTTGAGCATTTCACATCACATTTGTTCATAAAGCGGCAAAACTTATCCTACCGTGAATATAGAGTGGATGGGCGTGCGAGTAAAACTGAAGTATTACTTTATAAGGATAAATATCAGCAAAGGCATCAAAAGGACATAAAACGTGATAAAATCACCATGAGAGTATTTCCTAGTCCTTAAGGGAAAAATTCTATATAATGCAAAAATTCCGTTCCCCTACAAAACCCGAACCTGAGCCCCTCGCACATGAAGCGTCACGCTTACCACTTCACCAAGCCGCCGTTGAGGAACCAGACACATCCATGTGATTTAAGTTTTCTTATGTTAAGCTCCCTGAAACCACCGTCATAACTCCGTTCAGAGGAACGCTCGGCAAATTTGGAAACAGATTTGAATTCAGCATCCAAAAACAAGTCCAGCAGTGTAGGTCTCATTTCAAATGGCCATTCTGACTTGGGATCCTTCCCTAGTAAGACAGGAGCTATCGAAGGTCAGATTCAGCTACAGAGGGAAAGAACTTCTGGCGACAGAGAATAAATCGCCACTGCCGCTCAAAGTTCGACTGAGCCTCCGATGAATCACAAAAAAGGCAGAATTAGCGTGACAATACATCCAAGGGTTTAAAATAAATCCAGAGAGTTGTGCCGATGAATTGATGCGATGGAATCTGCCTTTTCCCAGTACCCGTACAGGAAAGTAGTCCAGTGGTCTTCGGGAATTCAGTCAAGTATCGAATGTATCTTCTGCGGATCCATAGGGACCCATTATTCGGATTCGCGCCCTTCAGTCGTTGAAGGCTATGAGAGGATACAGGTAGCCATGACTACCGGCAGGTGCCTACAGTGTTTGAAATTTTGTGATGGTACATGTACTTCGAGAGAAGACAGCTGTTGGTATTGCCGACAACTTCGCGAGACCCCATTCATAGACATTATACCGATGTATCGCCATCATCGCGTCCTATGTCAAGTGCCCAACGCTAAAAGAGATCTACGTGAAAGACTTTCGCTTAAACGAAGTGAACTAGTGGGAATGGAATGTATCGGGTCTCTTCGTCAAGGGCCGGGATGCCGCGAACGCGACCATGACTCTGGTTAGGTTTGGAGAGCTTTTTTTCTAGTGTTAAATCCATATTGCAATTGTCTATAATGTTAGTTCAAAAAGATCACGTGACAACGATGCCCTTTCGTGCGTGGGAAGTACGTGGGCTGGGGATTTCCGAATCCCACGCACAATCGATCCTCCCGGGTATATAAGCCCGCCAATCCACGTCGACAATCAATCAGTCACATCCGGCACGATCTCTTCCTTTTTTGTCTTAGATCTTGTTATTGTGTTCAAGTTATAATCCAAGTATTGTATTCGGTTTAATTACCCAAGTTGAGGTAAATCGTGGAGTCAAGCCGTGTTATGTATTACGTACGATAAAACCCGCGTAGCACCCGAAATCAAAGGCGAGCAGTTTGCAAGAGCACAAGACGGCAAGGTATCCGGGGTCGGTCAATTGGTACCAGACTGGTCTGGGAGGATTAAAGCACTGACTTGTACATTGGCTGGCCACCGCAAGTCATTGTAGAGATATTATACGCACTTATTACGCCGCCACGATTCTGAATAGAAGTCGAGTGCGGGAAGCATCCTCAGACGTGATTGATTGGCGCCAAAAGACTTTACCCTACATCCTTCATTATTATTATTATTATTATTATTATTATTATTATTATTATTATTATTATTATTATTATTATCATTATTATTATTATTATATTATTATTACTATTATATAATCATATAATCATATTATTATTATTCTCAATGTTCGCCTTTCTTGAAACCTGGGAATTTGATCTATTATTAAACAATTCTGTGCCGAACAGGTTTTTTAATGGTGGAACATTTATTGCGCCAGACGTTTCGACCAATTCGTCGTTATCAAAGGTTTGAAAGCGTTTCGGAACTCTAAAGTGCTACTACTACGCTTGACGAGACCAACTCTTAACTATAAAAGTTGCAACTCAGATGAGCTTTCAACTAGATAGAAATTCCAACAAGTCATTCACGTCAGCTCCACTAACACCGAGCCTTACCTCAGCTCAGAGACGATAGAGCAAATGAGACCGCCCGGTCAGCCACGATCCATTAATAGTTCCGTGAATGACACGTAACAGTACCTACTACCAAAGCTCACACAGATCGATGCATGGCAGGAGGTCAACCGTCATGTTGACGCACTCATTCTTGATGTTCCTGTTTGGATTTCAGTCTCTTATCCAGAAGCCTCTAGAGTTTTTGTGGCACTAATACTGTTCCCGTAGGCCAAAATCGTGCATTTACCGTTAAAGTCACAACCTTCTGTTATGTGCTCTCCTAGCAGTGAAATCAAACAATTTCTTCGTTTGCTTGCTAGATGTTCTTTCACACGAACACATAATTGTCTCTCGGTTTCTTCAATACAGCAAGCATCGCATGTCAAACACTGAAGATGGTAAACCACAGCCCTTTGCGCACAGACTCCTACTTTCTCATACGGACAGAACACGCAGTTATCCATAATGCAAGTTCGGTCATAGAGACGATTTCTAACCAACTGGTATTTAACGTTGTCTCTTGGTGTGTTAAGAAAACGCCGCCGGCTAGATTTGCTCTTTTCAGGCACTGCTGTATAACTGCCGGGTACACAGCGTGGCAGCATGTGACAAGTAGAAGTAGACCAAGGCTTTTCTCTTAAGTAATGAAGATAAGGTGTATCTTTAATTACCATTCATACCAGATTGATTCAGCACACGATTTAGAGTTGGAACCAAAAGGACTCACCCCAAATTTGTATTACTCTTGATTTTTAGAAGCCTTATTTTTCTCTGAATACACCGACTCTCGCGTCTTCTTCGCTTTCTTTGCACTATTCTGAACTATCACTTTCATTATTCGTCGAAAAATAGACACTCCGAAATTATAGTGAACTATGCGCCCAAAACAGGGTGATGTTGAAGATTGCCGCATTTTTATTAGAAGAGATAAGCGGCGTCGTCACTATAGTCAGGGATGACATCAACAAAGTTCTGCTGAAAGTGATTGTTAACACATAACAAGTGGCATAAAGGTGCGAAGCTACGACTAAAAGGATATTTTTAGAACGAGCACTACACAAAACTGTTTTCACGTAATCCAATGAAACCATTGCAAAAGAAAAGCTGAAAAAAAACGGTACCACCACTCACTTTATCAAATGAAGCATTTCTTTTTTTAGCGCCTCTTAAATATTCATTCATCTGTTCCTCAGATAGCTGACTTCTGGGATTCCATACCATAATGTCTCTCTCATCCTCAGCATCAGCATACAGCCTGAAACTACGTACAGCAATGCTCAAATCTGCTATAAATTTAGGTTCTCGAACATGCGCATGTTGTCGTCAAAATAAATTTCTGCTCGGGTTTAAATGTACAAGGGTAGTATAATATTTTATGAAGGGGTGGGAGAGGAAGTATGTACGGCTGTTCGATTCGTCGAGATAATAGACCGAATTTACAGTACCGGCCAGTGAAGTATGCGTTTTCAATTTTCTAAACGTAACTACCGCAAATCTCAACCTTTCGGCGGGAAAATTATACAGCACGTAACTTGAACAGTTAGTAACATTAGAGTTGCGCAGGAGTCTAGCAGCACACTTCCAAGTGAAACTGGCTCTTAATTTTCAAACAGCCCCCCAAACGCACACTTTTGCCTTCGATAACTCGCGGGTTTTTACGATAGGAATTTCGAGGCAATTCTTGCTCCTTTGTGTCACTTCATGCAC